CTGACTTTCCTTGTTTCGTTATAGGGTCATTCGGACGCATTACTTGTTGCCGTATTGTGGCGCAGGCCTGTGGGCCACTCCTATTCCGAGAGGCGCGAAGGATCTAGCCACGGTCTCAGAGACCCCTTTTATGTACGGGATGCTCTGCCACGACTTCGGTGGGCAACGCCCCTCAGTCCGCGTTTTTTGTGGCATACGATTTTGTTCAGTGAACGCTCGTTCGGTTAGCCGCTAGCATTTTCCACTACAACCCACTGTCCGTTCAAGCGACGAAGGAGCAAACGGCAGGAGATTGTCCCAAATGGGGTCCCGCGAAAAGCAGATATTACGCTACACAGTCCCGACACCCACTGGTTGAGCAAGGTAAGGCGAAAGAAAGCCGTGCGTCTGTCCACATCTTCTAAGGCCACTCAAAGGAGACGCGGCAAGGAAAAGACCGCAGAAAAAAAACAGAGCACGGCAAGCAAAAAAGCAGGTGCATGGGCGTACGCTCACGCAGGAACTCACCTTTTTTGGATGAATTCCCGAATGCGAAGTGCAGCAGAGCCGAGGAGGAAGATGGCAATGAAGATGGTGGAGACGCCGAAGCACATGGCCAACGCAATAATTGCAAATCTGCAAAGGTAAGAGGGGAGACGAAAGAAGCAACTAGAAGTTGCGTGCATGTGAACAGGAAGGTCCAAATGCAGCAGATTCTGCCGTCGGACAGCGGGGACACGGGCAACTAAACCGGGTGGTGGATGCCGCACAAAGGGCAAATAAATGCCCACGGTGGGTGTGTTGGATCCAAAAACGGTGGGGCTAGCGCAGGGGGTTGGGAACCTATTTGACTCAGAGAGCCATGAAAGCAAATATTTGGAAATATATTTCAATGAGAGCCAGGTCTCATAGCGTGTGTTGAAGTGACGTTTGCATTTGACCGTTTCACCGATGTAATTTTTGTTAGGACGGCCTAACAACAGCCTTAGCAAGCAGTAGCTTGCAAGCCATAGCCACACTCCAAGCAGGCTATCGATCAGCCTACATGGGCGGATGTACACAGGCCGTCAATCAATCTATAACTTGAAATTCATATTGCAGTCCGTCGTCAAAGAAAGAAGCCAATCCTACCAGCGACTATTTCAGGAGAGAATCTGATTGGCTCAAGGGACACCGCGTTACACTGTTTGTTGTTCTAAATACGTTGTACCCATTACACTAAAGGACTTTTGCCGTTGCACACTTCTTTTCTTGTTCTTCCTTTGGGGACTCACACAAGGCGTTATTGGGCGGTAATATCTCGGCCTGGACCTCCGTTACAACAATTTTGTCATTGCAAATTAGACACATCGCAGAACCTGCTCTCTCCACAGAGGCCAATTCTTCGGGCCATTCGTCCCGAAATGTACGATACTCTTCGTGTCTTTTTTTCCGCTATCTTCTTTGTTGCAGGGGTTAACTCTGGGCAAATGAAAGTGTAGCGGTCAAGGATGTGTGATCTACTATAACCACTACACTAAGAGCGTTCCGTCTGATAAACGAAAGCAGTCA